GAGACCCGGCTGTAAGATTCCTTTTAAAATACTTGACTACTTCTTCTGTATAGCCTGATAGCAATGAAAGTAACTCCACCACCAATTGTAGCAACGTGAAAAAGAGATAACTTCCCCCTTCTTGTTATTACTGTAGTACTGTAGTAGCAAAAAGGCTCACAATATGTGGACAATTTGACTACTACAGAAAACAACTCGAAGGGTATATCTTGAGAAATCTCGCCAATGAAGGGATTTCTTATCCTCCGTCTCCCACCCAGACGCTGATTAATACCCGTAAGCCATAACCTTGCTTCACTTTGGAAGATCACGGGGGTGCTCACATTCTATCTTGCCAAAATATTGGCAGTGCAATGTTGACTCTTGCATATGGCATAGAGTGGCATGAACGCATTCAGGCCAGCTGATACAAATAAATCGGAGTCCAGCTCCGATTCAATGGCCAAACCCACTAAGGCCCTCTTCACCTTATGCCTGTCCTCATGTTTCCGCTTATTTGGACGACCTTCGTTCAAAACCTGGTCAATTACATCGTCCCTGGTGAATTTTGTTTGCCCCGCCATTTTGAAAAAAGTGGCTATACACTTCATGTAACTATACGATTTTGGATACTTTCATTTGAATAACCGCTGGCACGTACATATTGCATATTGGCGTGTTGGCATGCATTTTTGTCAAGCGTGACCCGTCAGATCATATGTGTTATGCAACAAATGTTATGGAACAAACACTATGCGACAAATGTCACAGAACAAATGCCATGCAACAAATGTCATGTGACACGCGACAGTGCTATTAAAATTATATTAAAGCAGATCGGAAAGTATGTGGTCAACATTTCAAAATGTCTTACTGCCTTATCACAGCAATTATCGATATGGATCGATTTTCTGTAAATGGAAAATAAAATTTCTCTGAAAAGAACTGGGCTTACTAAAAAGTTGGAGATGCTACAGCAGTCTTTCTTTTTCGACATTGGTCTGCGATGGCATGACACCAAAATATGTGCAAATCTGTCCAAACCCACATCCACAAACTCCCGTTTGGTGTGCCAGTTGGAATCGATGCCATCCTGCTATCACCCCTAGAAGAAACAATCACAAGCCTCTATGATAGTATGTGCAAAAACTCTCTCATTGCATATAAGGGCGGGAATTACAAAAAAAACCTGTCGGCAGACCTCAACATTCCCATCCGTAAATCTAGAATGCTTCGGTTGTCCAAAAGTGCAAAAATTGTTTGATCAGATGATATGGCTAGAAACTTGCGGAAAACACTTGACAGATGATGCGTATGAGCACTGTCCCAAAGTGGAAGTGTACGGATTGTGGCTGGAAAAGCAGTTGTTGCTGGAACTTATTGCCACAAGCGATATAGGAACTTATTGCCACAGCAATATAGTCATGTGATTGGAAATTGTAAGACCAATGGCACATAATTATCAACAAGGTTGACAAGGGCAAGAAACGCAATATATTTACTGTGACAAAATACTGAAAGAATGCTGTCTCGAACAAGTGTCCAACCACCATATAGCACTTCAAGTTATAAGGACACTCACTCTCCATGGCTGTGGCTTCTTGGCTAACTTTGCTTTGTTTCCAAACAGGGAGGAATAAAGCTGTGTAAAGATTGAGTGGAAGTTCTTTACCACACATTCTTATGAATTAAATGAAAGATAAGGGACCAATCAGTGGCACAACATTCTCACAGATACTACAAGCAAGAACTAATGCCACTGACAATGCTGACCAAATAAGGCTAAAGGCAAAGGAAATTGATGCATGTAAGCATGAAATGCAATAATTTAAATCCATGTTTGTACCATCGAGAAAAAGTTTAAATTTTAGTAGAAAAACAATTGATAAATTGAACATTAAGGCTGCTGAGTTTCTTACAATAAGGTTTGGAGTGCTGCACAGTAATCCTGGCCAGGCTGTATGCCAAAGATTTGAGGTCAGAGCAAGGAGATGACAAAGTGGACATTGCCAAACTTGTTTGCAAACAAGGGATTCACATCAGTCCAATGGGATTCACATCAGTCCAAAGATCTCCTAACCACAAAATGTAAGTTAAGTACTAACACTAAACCAAGAAGCTGCAGCTTTAATTAGTAAATAGTTTTTGACTACATGAAAATATAAATAATCAAGAGATTTTAACTGCATCACATCTAGAAAAATCTATTTACTATAAAAGCAGCTGACAATTCTGTAACCTAGTGAAATATTAGACACAGGACTTCACAGAATATTTTAAACATGAAACATATAAAAAATTATAGAAATATTCTCTAAATTCAGTTCAAAGAGTTAAAAATCCTGATTCCCCCTGTTGAAAGTTTCTGTTGAAATTTATGTTTTTACCAGAAGTAGTAATCAATTACTCTTTCTGATTGGCTTAGAGCAAAAATGTAAAGAGATGCCCTGATTGGTCGAGAACGAAATTCCCCTTTGTTTACTGTTGTTTATTAATACTAAGTTTATTTTGAATTAGGTGGAAAAAACAAAAGGATTTCAAATAATATAATATAAAAACGTATATACATACTCCTGCACTGCTCCATATATTTCGAGGTTTTAACTTGTTCATTCTCGACAGATCCTTATTAGCATAAATCACTGCCACTGTGTCGACATGTGTGAATTTGACTTTAGACGAGCATATGCTCAACTTGGAGTTGTATCGCAATTAAAGTGTCCAATAATTGCATTAACTGCTACATGTACTGCCAGAACTGAAGGTGTTATTATTTCATCTCTTCAAATTACAAGCCCAATCATTGTAAGAAAGGCATGCAATTACAAAAAAATTTCCCAATTTGTTAAAGTGGAGAAAGGAGATGGTAAAGATCAAGTGGCAAATGAAATTTTGAATGAACACAAACACAAATGTGGCATTGTTTACTGTCAACAAAGGTGTGACACAACAGACATATTTGTTGCAAATGCAAGGGATACATACAAGAAAAAAGAAAAGTTCCAAGCTTGGCTGGACACAAAAGCCCTGGTTATGTGTTATGTGTCCAACAATTGCATTTGGGATGGGAATTGACAAACCAGATGTCTGTTTTGTCATCCACTTGAGTTTACCCCAGTCACTGGAATGTTATGCCCAACAATTTGGCTGTGCTGGCAGAGATTGGACAAGAGTAGACTGTCTGTCGACATCGTAGACAAGAGTAGACTGTCTGTCAACGTACACAACACATGCATATGATTTGCTCATTACCAGAGAGCGAGCACCAAGATTTGAAAAGAAGAAAATTGAATGAGGTTATCAAATATTGCATTATACCCAAAGGCAGGAGCTTCAATTGGTACACAATTTTCTGAGGACTATAAAGATTCTTGTTGCAACGTGTGTGATGTTTGCTTGGGAACATGCAATATTTTGACAAGATAAACTAGTTTAGTATTTTAACACAATCCCTGTGTGATGATGATATGGAATTTATCCATAATTACTCATTTTGCTATTGGTTAATTAAGAATACAGCTTGTCAAAAGAAAAATGATGATATTCTGAATTCCAAACAGTTGATTTTTAATCACAATTTTCAAACTAATGTATGTAGCCATTTTTGTTCCTAATCTTAAACTCAATATTCAAGGAGCAACAGTCTGTTGAAGTTCCACTTTTTAGGCATCCTGTATAAACATGCCCGAAATATACAGTACCCTTTTGATAATTACCTCGCATATCTCATTCTTTCATCTGGGAGCCTCATTCTCATGTTTCAACATGAACATAGACGTTTCGTTCACAAATCATGAAAGGAACGCTCCCAGACCAAACAGGAATATTTCAGTTTTATTCAACTGAGTCTTTTAAATTGACTGTAACAAAAAATATGGCGGCATGTCCTTTTACCATAATTCTTTGCAAGAAGAAAACATATCTCAAGGAAATATCCGAAAAGACCATAGAATTTGTAAAGTATATGTTATATTGATCTCTTTATCGACATTAACAAAATAAACAGTTCAAACAGTTCATATAACCAATTCAGGTTCCCAAAGCAAAATGGAAAAATCAACATCTGCCATCATTTTTATTATGGTGAATTTCAAACATAATCTATTTCAATTTTATTTCTTTGGATATTGTACTTTGTCTGAGGAATATTGCCTACACTACATATCACATTTTTTGTAAATACTTTCAATATTGTTATGTTGCTATTCGGATACTGTAGAGTGTAGACCACTGGAACAATGTCTCATGTTGTTCTAAAAATAATTTCAAATATTGTTTTGCTATTTTTGCACAGCCACTGTGTAAATTAGCTTCAGATGACAGGGGTAAATGAAATTATTAAATGAGAATATGAAATCATTAAAGCATGTCAATGTTTGCCATAAGTCTTTGCAACATCTGAACTGTTGTATGCCCTTTTAAGGTAGAATTACAATATGCCTTTCAGTATTTGTATAAACTGTAAATAATATGAAATGTCTGAGCAGTAAACAAAGGAAAACTCTCAGCTCCCAATTAACTTTCATTGTCAAGATGATTGTTGCACTATGTAACTGTTAAGGGACCAATCATAAAGTAAAAGGGGGAGGGGGCTGGGCTGGGAAAATCATATAGTTGGTGTCTGCACTTTTGGTAGCCCACTTCTTAATAGCTGCATGAAAATTTGTAGCCCATGTACCTTAAATTGTTGCCAAATAATTCTGTGTTACAATACTCAATAGCTATTCAAATGGTGCAATTAAATACAGAAAGGTCTTTCTTTGCATGGAACTTCCCATGCATACTGCATTATGCAGTATCTTTCTCATAATTAGAGACCTTTAATTTGACATTTACAGCTAACAATACGATATTTACACCAAACCTATAACGATGATTGTGATTTTTCTCTAAGAAATTACACTAATTTTGTTACATAATAAACATCCTTCACAAAGCTTGTGACGTTTAGCAATAATATCAGAAAATTAGTTAGCCAATACTAACGTGGCAGCTTTTAAGGTTAATGTTTGTGGTATAAATTTTACACATGGATCCTGATATGTTTTATTTCTATTTTTATAATATGAATTTTAGTACACTCATGCCCTTGAAAAAATTTCTGCATATTTTACATGACCCACCCTTATGATTGCACTTAACTTTTGATGACCCACCCCTTGAACCATGCTCAAAAATAGTGACCCACCCCCTTATTTTTCCCAGCCCACCCCCCATTTTAACTTATGACCAGTCCCTAATCAAAAGGTACTAATGCAATATGAGATTTAACATTGCAAGTGAAGCACAGCTTGAGTGGTTATTAATCACACGTGTAAATCTCATACTGCACTCACTGTCTTATCTTGTGACACACACACACACAATGAACAAAAAGAGTGTGATAACTAGGTAATCCGAGTGTGATGAGTACTGATCACACTGCAGTCAATATTATCACTCAGAGTCACCTTCTTGAGGGTTGTATATGGGATTTAACACACCTTTTAAAACAATGATTTGTGGGCATGTCATGAGATAGCAGATGATATACAAAATAACAATAAGATGTTTACATGTTGAGCAGTTTTTCATAGGCTTTACTATACACGATTCAACCCCAGAGCTACAATCTTGGTCATAAAGCGTAGGACGATGATGCATTTTTCAAGCCTCCCCCCATTCAATGTTGCCGTTTTGTCTACTTTTATGGTCGGACATATTGTACAGATAAAATTCTACATGTACTTGAATTGCAGGAAACCAACATTGAATGGGGGGAGCGGGGGGAGGTGCAATATGATTTTAAAACCCAAGTATATTAAAAAGTTGCGAATTTGTTTTGTCGTTCTACGAACTTTTGGCCAAGATTGTAGATTATGGCCTACATGCCCATTTAAACTGATTGAACAATTCTGTCTCAGGAGCTTTCTTGTAGGAAGTGGCCACACATAGCAAGAAAGTTCACAATGTGTAGCATAGATTCTGTGTGATAGTTCATTTTGTTTGATCGGACAAAAAGAGGCTGCAAAATCATTCTCATCGCATCACAATACATTTGTTGCATTCGGCCAAACAAAGTGACCAATCTGAGCAATACTACTTAAAGGTTGCATCTTCTCTATTGTCACTTATCCACTGCTTGAGCTTGGATAATAATACTGCAGTACGGTTGCCAGTTGACCGTATGCACTTATGCAACTTGTCTGGATCAGGAAATGAAGTGGAATTTTTAAACTCCACTACCATTTGCAGATTTAGTTGCCTAGCCTCCTCCGCAGGCAACTCTTGTGGCATCCCAAATGGCAAACTTTTGAAAAATCCACTTCAAAAACGAGCAATATTTTCGCAAACAGCGAATTAATAATATTTAATGTGGTTTTGGCCAAGTAGTAATAAAATTAAGGGGATTGGGCCATAAATTTGTGGGATAAAAGGGGATCTTGGGGGATAAAATATGAGGAAAGGAGAAAAACGAGGGGACCATTCACCTCAGTGGACATGACAATTCACCCTGGGTAGAGGGTGAGTATAATTTTCTCTTAGTGTAAAAATCGGTAAGCAATAATATTCATTGCAGTCAACTAAGTCAACATGGCTGAAAGTGTATTTAGTTCAAAAGCATCGAAGATACCACACCATGTGAGAACACAAGTCCCTGTATGCAGTTTAGAATACAAGAATATTTTGCGGAATGTCCGGCAAAAAACCCCTAAATAGTGGAAATATAGGACCAGAATAAAGCCAAAAAGGGTTGGCTGATCGTAAAAAATTATATTTGGACAATTTTGCGTTATCGTTGAGTATCAGTATGCATCATAACGGTGATCAACTTTTGAAGCATTAGATGATCCCTGTCTCTGATATTAGTCAGAGGAAAGTAATTTTTACTCCAGGAGGAACCAAAAGGAAAGGCAAGTTTAAACAAACTATATTTTTTAATAATGCGATTGCCTGAACAATCTTTCATAATGATAGTAATTTCTCACCAGGTTTTAACGTTTTAGGGGTGGCTTGTTTCTACTGTGTTTTACACATATATCAAAAAGAAAAATGACTAAACTTTAATGTAAATTTGCATGTTTAAATTATTTTATAGTAAACCCTTTCTACCAAACATTTAAGGCTGACATGAAGACAGCCTTAGAATGTTTGATTTGCAAAAGACGTAATCTAATAACATGGTAGATGATATAATGGAAAAACTTTGTGAAAAGTTTCCAGGAGTAAATGGTTTTGAACGACCAAATGTATTAAAGGAGCTATCCAAAATATATGGAAAGAAGGTGGAATATCTGGGGAAGAAAAAGAAAGAAGTATGGTAAATGTTTCATTGCTGATTTCTACAAGCATATTTCCCTTACACAGGATTATGTTCTATTTGTATTTCCATTTTTGATCTGGCATACATTTAGTTACATGGTGTTTACATGGAGATGAGAGCTTGCTTTTCCATGTATATGGGAAACTACATGCAGCCCTAGGCAAGGTCCCAAACTTAACAAATACAGAAAGCAAAATATTGCCTAAGTGTGTCAGGGCGGTTCCAATATAAATGCATGACAAATGACATAGCCAAAACAAGTTAGTTCAGTTACCCAGATGGGACTTCCTCCATACAAAGTCACCCTTAGAACTATATTACATAATTGAGGTGTATTATAGTATTTCATTCTTTTCAGAGCCTATTACCATGGTGCCATGCAATATTTTTAAGTTCTGTCTGGGATTAGGATTTATTGAAGACCAGCAAAATTCTGCAGGTATATTGAATGCCAAGTAGTGGGTCTATAAATGATATATTATACGAAAAATGAAAATCCTTCAAATTGAGAATAGTTATTTAAAACATGCCACAGACCTTCATCAATTATTTTTACTAAAGCAAGTATTTGTCACTTGTGTTTTGAGTATTTTTTTACCGAGCATACAATTTAATCCACCTTTCCGACACTCGAAAAACGTGGCATTGCATGTGACCAAAACACAAAAATTCGGACAAACAATTCGAACAAAATACATTTACTATTAGCAAAAGCAACTTACGCATAGTTAAAAACTGGGTTTTAAAGAAGACTGATGGGGTGAATATTAAGCCTTTTTATCAGGCTCAAAAATGTTTAAAAATATGACAGTTGCAGAGCTTAAGTATGAACATAATCATTTTGCCTGTGATGCCTGCTTGTAAACATATAAATTATTCATAATAAAATGGTAAAAAGATGTGCATGGGGTACTTGTAAGACTGACATGCGATATGTCCTGTACAGTTATCATTGCTTGCTTAACTTTAGCCATATAAAGATGAACTCTTTCGTTCACCATGGTTTCAGTGGACAATCCAGTGCATCCTGCTATAAGACCTTCATTCGCTTTTCTCCACACTCTTCCTGTTGGTGCTACTGCTTGATCCTTCAGGTTCTTCTTGTAAGTGAAGCTGACACCATCAAGATAAAAGGCAACATCTTTAGTCCAAACATTTATATCGTATTCTTTGATCATTTTCCTTGCAAACTTTACTCGTTTAGATTTATCGTTAACACTAACAAGGCCTTTCTTGCGTGCCTGCATGTATTTGTATCCACTTGCACGAAGAAATGGAGTGACTGTCTTTACTGAGACATAAAGGACATTAACACTTTCCATAAGTCTTCTTACTGTCCAGTTGCCATTTTCCCGCCTCAAGGCCTTAATTTTCCGCAGTAAAGCTCTCTTGTCACGTACACTAAGTTTCTCAGGACAACCACCAGGACCTTTTAATTTCTTTGAAATTATCTTAGTTCAAAGCAGCTCTTTCTTAATCTTGTAAATTTGTGCCCGAGAGACTTTAGTTTCTTTCATCAATTCCACAACAGGAGTATTTCTGCTGTATTTAATGTAAGCATGTGTCTCCAGATCAATTTTCCTGGTAAAAACCATTCTAAAATATGTTTACAAATTTTATGTATATGCAAATGAAGATGGTCAGTCTTTACGCGCTGTTTTGTAAGCAACTTAGATTTCCTGGATGTTTTAATGCTATACGAGCCAGCATCACTGAGGCCATACCCCCCTTTCTGCCTGCCATGCACATATGCCAACCCGATTTCAATTACATCCTGACAAATGCCAATTCAATCTATAAAAATTTAAATATAATTTGTATATTTCGGCAATGCACAAACCTATGGCCTTTCCCTCACTTCCTTCATCTTCAACTCCCCCCTCCCCCGAATGTTCAAACCGGGTAGCCTTATTCGTGCAATAACAATGTATCGTCTGCTCCAGTGAGTACAGATAGGTATATAATATTTGACAGTCCACATTATGATTGTTCAATATTTTATAAATTATTTACTTGTATCTATTGGCACATTCAAGGACAGACAATCTTAGACAAAACTGTTGAGAATTCATATTTTTAACCCCCTTGCCCCAAATCAATGTTGCATACAGAATCACCGCATAGCCAAGCTAACCCTTTCCCGAAACTGAAAGGTTTTTCTCTATGACAAGTAAATATCGCTAGTTTAGTAAACCATATCGAAGAACTCTGAATTTTCATTACCAAAACACCTTTCAATATATTATTCATTAATAAGATGAGGCTAGACAATACAATCAAAAGCTCGGAAGTTGAAAGTCAAGACTATGACCTTGTCAAACACAATAGAAACAAAAATGGAATGGCAATCTACATACATAATCTTATACGATTTTCTAAAAGAAAATCTCTAATCCCAGAAAACATTGAGGCAATCTGTCTCAAAAACAAAAAGCCAAAATCCCAACCAATAATAATTTCGACATGGTACTGACCACCAGGATCTAATAACACAGGAATACTTGACTGCTTTGAAACTTTTCTTCAGAACATTGAGAACAATATAGATCTACTATGTAAACATAACGAATGCAGTCACACCAGACGATTTAATGAACTATTAAACACATAATTATCATAATTCAACTTATAAAGAAACTGATTAGAATGTGTCAACTAAAATGCACTTTTAAAATGATAGCCCCAATGAAATGTAATCAATTGAGAGTTTAGAATGTAAATTGTGACACTATATTATTATATATAATAACTACAGTGAAACATGCAATTTGATTGGTCAATAGCCGTAGCCGTGCAGGATCAGGTTATCCTGCACAAGAAACTAAAATACGTTCGCAGGATTCTCAAAATGCCATTGTTTCACTATAGTTATTTTATAAAACAATTACCATATGGTTTTCCGAGCAGGATCATGTGATCCATGCAAGTGATTTTTACGCTTTCCAAAAGTCTTGCATCATCCCACGTCTTCACCTATAGATAATTATTCAAAAATTCTATCTGTCTGCCGAGATATCAGTAGTCCAAATTGCATTGCTTGCATTATATACAGTTATTTCAATTAAGGTTGTCTCCGAGCAAAGCGGGAAAGTCATATACGAGCACGAAAGCTTGCTGGGAATCGCTAAAAAATTCATTAATTTGTTAGCGATTCCCAGCAAGTCTTTCGTGCTCGTATTCATCTTTTCCGGTTCGCTTGGGGACAGCCTTAATTGAAATAGTTGTATATACTTACTTGTGGAATTTGCTTTTTCCGATTGCAGTTTATCAATTGTTGTTTTGAGCCTTTCAATTCTCTTCTTTTAGCTCTTCATAGTCTACATTTTGAGACAGAAACTTCAAGTTGAGCGTCGTCATCCGGTTCAGCATGCCATTGATTGCATTTGTAGGATAGGCAGATAGTGTTATTAATTTCAGAAGGAAGTCTTAGTGTGGATTCGGTTTTATCAGCTTGAAAATGAAGTTGTCTCAACGATAATCGGTTAACTGGTGTAGTAATCAATGTGGAATCGCTGTTCAGAGTAAATTCTTGTTGGCCTTGCTGTGGGGTTGTAAGAGTTATGAAGGAAGGGTAATTTGCCATGGGACTGGAGGAGCTGTAAGGCTGGGTACTGCAACTATTCCAATTTGAGGTTTTGGGGTCTTCGAGCTATAAATTCTACTTGTTACTATACGAATGGCTTGACAAATTTTGATTCTGACCGCCAGAACCGAAATATTTGATGCACCAATCAGCAAACTAGGTTTTAATTGCAAAATGACATTTTTACCCTGTCAACAGCAAACTATATACTTGATGCTGATCTTATCTATTTTTAATTTTCAATCATCTATACCCTAAAGGTATAGTAACTCACATGGAGCTGATAAAATAGATCGCATCTGTGCACATTACAGTGTCAAATTATTCAGGAAAATGTCTGATGTACAAAAAGAAAGAGGAAAAGAAAGGTAGAAATTATAGAAGACATGACAGCAGCAGCTACGACTAGAGATAGAAATTTCACTTTGGTACAGAGAGATGTTGTAGAATCAGAATTGGTGGGTTTTCCTTGTTATGAAATACAGCACCAACTGGTTGAAAGCACTGTTGACATTGATGCAACTCTTGAGGATGAGGAATCTTTAGATCATTATGACCAACCACGTGAAGATGAACTTAGTGCACTACTAAGCAATGACCTATCAGTTCCCTACATCCCCACAGTGAATTCTGAAACAACTGCCGAAACTGAATTAGAAAATGGTTGCCAAAATCAACCACTCCCAACTGCCGGTGAGAATGAGACAAATGAAGAAAATGAATGGGTGTTGGATTATTTGGACCGAATACAAGACGAAATGGTTCACGCTGAAAAAGAAATGGAAGAACAAGACGATGACGATGAACCATGGTACGATGCATTTCAAGAACCAGACAGTACTGACGCACCACAGGGCTCAAGATTAGTGGTATTCTGATATCCATAAAATACAATTTTGGATACTAGATATCACAGACTTAGTATCCCGTTGGGATACTAAAAATATCAAAATATTGTCAAAGTTCGTCAGAATATGTTCGTCAGAAATGTTCGTCAGAATAATTTTTCATTGTTTGTCGTGCGAAAGCAGAATAAACCTGAGCACAAAGTTAATTTCTGCCTCTCTATTTTAGGCAATGATTGCTCAGAAGATGATAACCAACGATTAAGCACGATTTCCTGCAAGGATTTCCTGTCGCCATCGCAATATAATGAAATTTGACTTGTGTTTCCCTGCTAGGCGCCAGCATAAGATAAAAAAGCATACGCTTGAACATAGTTTACAGGTTTTTACAAAAATGTGGAGATATGTAGTTAGAAGTCAGCAAGACAATCAAGAGAGACGACCAACTTCAACAACAGCTGCTGAAACATGTGCACAAGTTTGTGACGAGAGTACTTCTTTATCATCGTCAACCAACTCAACCCCAATACAACAATGTCAACAACTGATGCATGGTGATGAAGGCGCACAAGATACAGAACAGCAGCCAAACGAAATCAATGACGAGTTACAAACAGCTGAAATGCAGCAGCAGACCCACAAGACCATAGAAGCCTAGGAGCAAGACGCTGAGCAAGTGAGATGGCCTAATGTAATTGTCCAAGCAAGACGTGATAAGAGAAGTGATGAAATTAAATGCAGATACAAATCAACATAGCACAGCAGAAAATTTAACCAAAACCGGGAAAAATCCTTCCTGTGGATGACCCTAACGAATGATGAGATGTTTTGTAGTTCTTGTTTAAACAGCGGGACGCTTTGCAACAAGGAATCCAAGTTTGTGAAGGGTGGTTGCGGTAATTTCCATGTTAAAGAGTCACAAACGCTGTGCAGAACATCAAAAGGCCCTTACAGGAACACCAGGGACTAATTCTGCTGAATGAGCCTTGTTAGCAATGAGTCAACAAGATTTTGATAAAATGAGAAAACTATTTAGACTATCGCACTCTATTGTGAAAAAGGGTCGCCCTTCACTGACTACATATGGAGCGTCGATTTTCACGAAGCAACACATGGCTATCACTCTGCAAAACCTATTGCAATGATAGCGCATCTAGAATTTTTGTCGGGTACATCGCCGAAACAGAATGCTTAGCTTTGGCTGAAGCCATTAAGAAAGCACTATTATACAGCATAGTGACCGACGGCAGTACGGATTCATCAGTATGCTAAGCTGAGGCCATGTATGCCAGCTACAGTGATCATGGCAAGATATCGAACTAGTTTCTAGCTCTAAAGAACACAGCTTATGCTAACGCTGACAATGTTACCAACTTGATGGAAACAACGCTAAAGGAGTATGGAGGGCTCACTGATGAAAACCTGTATCAGAAATTGGTTGGATTTGGAGCAGACAGGGCTAGTGTGAACATGGGCTGCCATAGTGGTATTGGTGCCAAACTACAAAGGAAACAACCTTTACTGACGTCAGTCCATTGTATGTATGGCACATCGGCTGGAACTTGCATTCAAGCAAGTAATCCAAGAAAATAAAGCTAAACTGAAAGTGCTTGCTTTTCTTGACAACCTATACAAGTTTTACCACAACAGTTTGTTGAACCAGAGCATGTTAAGAGAGTGTGCTGCAGCATTTCGCACTTCAGGGATCCCTACAAGATTGGGCAGTACCCGATGGATACCTCATACCTACACTGCTCTCATCAATTTCTGGAAGATGGTCTTAGCACTACAGCAGCATCTTGGAGAGGTATGTAAAACATATTATCCCCGAGCTGACGGCGCAAAGCGCTGTGCGGGGTACTAATTCCCCCCAGCTATTTACACCCGGGGAAACGAAAGCATTAGCGAAGTCCAAAGTTCATCAATAATCGTGGGCGTGACCAACGAGCTTGAGTGGGTGGTCATCTAAACTGATCTCAAAAATATTGGCTGATTGCTTGTAGGAGTGGGATAAGCAAAATTTCAATTTTAAAAGGCATATATTTGGAAAATCGTTTTATATACAAGCTTGAAGCAATTTTGTTTGAAGAAATGAGAAGAATTGATTTACTATGGGAAATTGTGAAATATACGGCAAGTTTTCTTTGAATATTTAATGTTTACGAATTTTGTTGCTTTAACTTTTTGCCTAAAAACATGAACTGTTTTCCTTTTCAACAAAGCTCTAAGATTCATAAATTACTGTTTAATTTGAGAAAAAAATCTTAGAATATAAAGGTGAACAAGTTGATTTGAAGACTGAACTGAAATTACCTAACAATTTGTTTTATTTGTATTAAATTTATAACTTATTAATATGTTTTATTACTGAGTGAAAACAGCTTATCGGCAAAATGTAGTTTAGTTGAATGAACATTTCAAAACATTTTACGAAGCGTTTCACATTAAATCAAAGCTCACAAAATGCAAAATAAAATACCTACAGTATACATTTCGGAAATTTATTGTTGTATAGTTAAAAGTATGAATCTTTCTACTATTTTGCACTTTTGTACAAAAAATATAAAAAAATTAAAATTTAAGAATATTGCTTGAGCGCGAGCCTGCGTTCAGTGTTGGTCATTTCTGAATACTTCATGTTAATTGAATGTTTGGAAAATATTGGCGAGGGTTACTGCAAGCATGTATTTCTAGTAAAATAACATGTATATAATGCGTGTTCTGATTGGTCGAAACCTGTTTTTGGATCAAGCCATCCAAACACAGAAGACTATCGTGTTGTTGTTATTTTATAAAACAATTACTTTATGGTTTCAATGTTTGGATGCCCTGATCCAAACACTTGGGAATGTTGCTCGAGTTAAGAAAAGTGGCCAAAATCACTTGCCTTCGGCTCGTGATTTCGCTCGCTTTTCTTAACTCTCGCAACATTCCTGTGTGTTTGGATCAGGCCATCCAAACACGGAAACCAT